GTCCTCTATCTTTCTAGTTCCTTCCAGAGGCAGGACTGTTCCCTCACTCCCTGCCTGAGAGTGGTTTGCCCCGGCCAGCAGAGGACGGCAGTTGTCCACCCCGTCTGCAGGGCCGGGGGTCCAGCGTGTCCTCTCGGGCTTCCACCACTGCTGCTGTGCTCCCGGCCCCGCCCTGAGCCGGGGGGATGAGCCGTGCCCGCTGTCCCCAGCCCCTCTGTCCCCAGCTGGGCCCCCCAGGCCGCGGCAAGGACCTGCTCAGCAGGCCACTGACCGCTGCCCATGTGGCCCAAACGCTCATGTCCAGGAGCCCACGGCCACCCCCGGGTACAGGCCGGCCTCCAGTCCAGAACAGAGCCTGGGGGGTGAGGCGGGGGGTCGGGGGGGGGGGAGCCAGGAAAGGGCCAGGCCAATTCTGGTCTTCCCTGGAGTTTTTCTGTGGGGCAAACCGAAAAGGGCTGTGGCCCGAGCTGATGTGTGGCCAAGCCGTGGAGAAGCCCTGAGAATGAAGCCACTAGAAAGACACGTGAGCCACGCAAGCCCTGCACCCAAAGGCGGCCCGTCCTCTGGCACTCAGGAGCCCCCCCCCACCCCGAGACACAAGCTGGGGAGCCAGACCCAGGGAGCGGGATGGGCGCAGGGTCGAGTGGCCCCCGGCTCTGCCTGGGAGGGCCGCTGGTGCCAGCGTCTCTGGGCCCTCCTCGGGGGTCTTTCCCTCCCCTGGTGGGGCGGTTTCACCTGCACGGCTGAGCCCCTGGGGTGTCTGAACTGCCTGGGGCTGGGAGCAGGGTGCCCCAGGCGGGCGGCCGTCTCCTTGGCCTCACGGGCACCCCACAAACGCCTCTCCCAGGCCTCTCCACCCCCAGTCCTCCTGGGGAGCAAGGGCAGACCCGGACAACCCAGCTGGGGAAGCGAGCAGGTGGGCTGGGACTCTGCAGGCGTCCTCTGGGGTGGGAGAGACCAAGGCGACGAGGTCAGCACCTGGGAGACGCGCGGCTGCCGAGTCTGTGTGAGAGGCACGTGGGCAGGTGGGCAAAGCCCCCCGTGGGGCTGTCCGGAATCAAGCCGTCCAGCTGAGCAGCCGCTGCGCGTCAGAGCCTCTAGGTCTCCCCTCCAGAAGATGGGGTCGCTCTGGCAGCTGCGTCCCTCCCACTGCCTGCCGGCGTGGGGTGGGGTTGGGGTGGGGAACGACAAGACCCAGGTTCTGGGGGCCGGGGTTGCGTTTCTGCGGCGCTTTTCCTGCCTCCTGCCCCGCAGGAGCGACCTGGCAGCTGACCGTGGGCCTGGGCGCTGGCTGCCCCAGGCAGGCAGTGACTCAGGAAGGCAGGGGTGTGTGAGCAGGGGCGGAGCCTCCACCTGGGGCTAAAAACAGGCCTATGAGTCAGGGGCCTGTGCCATGCGGCTTTGCCTGGGTGACCGGGGGAAGCTGGTCCTTTCCCGTCTGTGGAAAGCGTCTCTGAGCCTGGCCAGGCCTCTCCAAGCTTCCTGATGCGAGATGGCCGAGACCAGCTTCCAGTCACGGCCGAGGGGGCCCCTTCTTTGCTGAGCCCTCTGTCCCCCCTGCCTACGTGGCTTCCACCCCTTTCCTCGGCGCCGGGGCCTGGGGCCCGGAGCCCGGAGCAGCGCACTCTTCCCGGACTGGTCTGAGCCATGTGGGTGGGGCCGTCTCTGTCCCGTTGCTGCAGCGCTGGAAACAGCCTGGGTTTGGCTCATTCAGTGTGTTGGCCCCCGTGAGCAGTCAGGGGTGGAGAAGAAAATCTGTACTTGTCAAATTAGACTTGGGCCGGCCCCACTGCCCCACCAGCCCCGGGGCAACTGCAGGTTCTCTTAGGAAAGAGGCAAAGAGGGGCCCCACCTGAGGTCAAAGCCATCACCGAGGAAAGCGGAGATGAAAGGGGGAGATGCCCCTGGCCATGTGACACGCCAGCACCTGGATCCAGCCAGGCCTGAAGCCACTCACACGTCTGGCTCACCGGTTACTGAGGTCAGCGAGTGCCCTGACTTCCCTGGATCCAGCTGAGGATCTGTTTTTGCTTATTTTTGTACTTTCAAGCCAAACGGCCCTCACTGTCACACTTCCCGCTCTGCCAGGGCCAGTCCGGGGTTCCCCCCCACCCGGGGGGCCCTTCCCGGGTTTCCCTTGGCTTGGGCTTCCCGTTTTGGCCGTTTCCGGGGGGTTTTGCCCCCCGGCGGCCCGTTCCCCCGGTGGCCCTAGATACGGCGGCACTGGCTACGGCCCAGACGCCGCTTTGGAAGATGCCTGCTGACAGTTCTGCGAGTTGATCTGGGCTGTTCACTGACATGTCTGGCAGGACCCCTGACAGCGGAGGTACAGGACATTCGTCACTGTGGGGCCTGCCTGGCCCCGGCCACAATGCCTGAAGCACCTCCCAGCTGAGCCACATGCAAAAACAACTCACAGCTTCCTAGTGCCCGTGGGGCGGCACTACTTCCTGAGAATCACAATTGGGGGGCCCTCTGCTAGGGCCAGGAAAACAGGCTCCTGCCTGAGGGGAGCGAGGGGGCCACCACGGCCCCTCACCAGCTGCGGGGGGCAGGCGTGGCGCCCGGCGTGTGCCAGTGCACAGGAGCGCGACTGCTGCCTACCCCGGCCGTGCGGCCCGGCGGGCCGGTCTGCCAGTCCCAGTGCCCAGGCGTGCCCAGGGCCTCCCTGCCAGGCTCTGCCTGCTGGAACAGCCCGCGCTTTAATGCCCAGCTCCCAGAGCCGCCTCAGACCTCCCAGCCCCGCCCCACGCAGCCTCGGGGGCTCGGGCTCCATCTGGGCTCCCAGCCCGAGCAGGGCCTGCGTCTGAGGTCCGGCGCCCTCACTTCCCTCACAGCACCCAGAGGCCACCTGGTGCAGGGACGGACGGAGGGGGGCAGGCCCACTGCTCCTCCTCGCCACAGGCTCAGTGGGGCGCCAGAGATGGGGGGCCAGCCTACCTGTCCCTGTGGTTTCGGAGTCAGGGTGGGGGTGGGCTGTCCCGGGGCCGGCAGGGCCGTGCACCTGACTGTGAACCGCAGGCCGTCCTTAGGGGCCGAGGCCCCGATGCTCTGTCCAGAGGGTGTCTCCCGAGGGTCTGGGGGGATTTTGTTACCACATTTGTTTTTCACTGAGGCCAGTATAACCTCTCTGGCTAAACGTCACGTTTCTTACTCATAATGTAGACACTTAGTGACCTGTAGCTGCTCTAGGTGGAGGTGAGGGTGCCGTGGGGAGCCCCACTCCTAGGGAGAGCCTCGGTCATAACCCTCGCGCTGGACCCACCAGAGAAGGGTCTGGCCAGGGAGAGGAAGGGTGCACGGAGCCAGGGCTAGAGCACAGTCAGCCTTCGGGCCCTCAGGGGGGTGCTTGGGGGGGGGAGGGCGGTGCGGCACTTCGCTCCTGCACTGGCGCCCCACGGAGGGCACGGCCAGGCCCGCCTGCAGAACACGTGAGGGCGTGAGCGCTGGGCAAGCCGGCAGACTGTCCCCGGCC